TAAATTTAAATAATTAGCGTTATCGTTAGAATATATCTCTTTAAAAATGTCCCCGCCAGTGATACAGTGCATAAGTAAAAGCATCTTTCGAACATTTGGTGCAATGTTTGAGCAAAATGTGTTTGAGAAAAGAAGCTTGATATTCTCGTTTAGAAACAGATCCCTGTTGGGACATCATTATTTTATTAATCAAATTTCTGTATTCCGCATCCCAATGTTATGAAGATATATTTTTTTTTTTTTAATTCAATCTGCTTACAACGGTACATCAACAAACATTTCACCAATGCTTCCAAAAAACATCAGGTGTTGTAGTAAGTGTTTGGTCCGAAAACAGTTTACTTTCAATGCTCCTTTCGAATAAACGCAAAAACCTTTAAAACATATCTCAACACTTCGTGAAACTGCATAGTCGAATAAAACGCGTATTATCTCTCCTTTCCTCACAGTCCAAGCATTACCACCTTCAACTATTATGCAGATTATTAGGTGATTATGAAGATTGTAGGCGACAAATTTCATCTGCTGATCATTACTTTAGTAGCTGTGCATGAAGTGACAATGTACGAAGGGTTACATAAAATGGCCGTATTTATTTTTAAGCAATTATATTATATTAACTTATATATTTTAGCTTTTTCAGAGTGTTCCCTACCACCGTTGTTACTCTTTTTTCCAATGTTTTTCCCACTGTTGGAAACTTGGAAATAATTCTGAAACTCTTAACACAAAACGCTATTCAAAGCAAGCAATATATTTTATTGCATCTTATCCATACGTCTGAAAGATTATATGTAGAAATAGAAAAAAGTCCTTTTGAACAAAAAGAACAACAGTTCAGTAGCGTCAGTGAAACAAAAGTACCATATTGATCGTCACAAAAAGTTATCGAATAGGGAAAAGTTTCTCCAGAAATCTGACATTCTGCATTAGTAGTCTTTTCTCAGTGTTTTCCGCATTTCCATTCGTCAGTGTATAACGAAGTCAGCAGTCTATATTTGACTTAACGCTATTTTTTAGTATGAAAAATCATTTGTACACATATGATTTAATCAGAACATCATCTTTAGAGGCTTGCCAGAGCATAACAACGTTCTCAGCTGCATTTCTCCTTAATGAAAAATAAAATTTCACTCATACTATTTGTTCTTTATAGTCGCACATTGTCAAAATTCCAGAACATTGCAAGCAAGACCACGCACCAGTCAGCATCGAGAACGAACCTCTGTACTCAGTTTAGTGCAACTTAGCAGATAGGAGCGGGAAAAGCTAGGCTAACAAGGCAAGTGACGCGGTCCATAATTATAAAATGCACTATAGTCATTCCGGTTATTTTTGGGTATCGCTACGTGTTAGTGTTAATGTACCATATTTAATTGAATAGCTAGAATTATGTAGTTTAAAATACTTCCAATCAGTGACAAACAAGAAGTTACCCATTTTAGGTTCTGTTATAAGGTATTTTCTCCCTCCTCTCTGCATGCCTTCGTGGTGTAATGGTTAGCACACTCGGTGCGTATTCGAGAGGTCCACGTTCTAGCCCCGGCGAGGACATTACTCATTTTTCATATCTCTTTCTTCAAAATTAACCTAATAACTTTATACCAGTGGTACGCATAACACTCTTGTTAACTTTTGGCTGAATCGAAAAAATAATTTAAAGGAATTTCAAATAAAGCCATTAAATTTTTATTGCTTTTTTGCAAAACCTGTTCGTGTGAACAGGTATTTTCTTTCATGTTATATTTGAAAAATAAATACAGAACAAAATTTAAAATGCATCCTAATTTACGTTTAAAGCTAAGTGAAAAAGACCGGATATAAAGAAACTGATCTCTTTTAAATTGATCTTAGGCCCACATTTCATACTAAATTTTAGAATTAAAGTATTATAACAAATTTTTCTAATCAAAATGGAAACCAGTTTTTAATCAAATATTTATGGGTGCGTATTTATTTATATTATTATTATGTGTATTTAATACAAATAGCCAATAGGTTGCTCAAATGGCAAAATATATATTTTTTTAATATTTCTGTTGAGAAATTGAAAAGTAATCATTGTAAAATGTAGTGGCGGTACTAAAGTTTTTCAATTTTTGTTTAGGTTTAAGTGGTGCGCGTTAGTCAAAAGGTTGAGAACCAGTGCTGTACGCTGTAACCCTACTCAAAGTCACGTATGATTCTACGAAAAATTTCTTTTTGGATTTTGTCAATTGAAGCTTTTTAAACATTTAAAAATTAAAAATTAAACTTTTTAAAAATTAACCAATGGTAATGTGTATAAAACCGGCTGAGTGAATATTTTGTAACGTGCAAATTTGTTTCCTCAAATTTTGGTTTTTTAAACTGGAAATTCACATGCAGTACTAGAGACAATTTTTGCTTGGATAACCAGCGAAAGAGGGTCTGGTAAATAAATGTAAATCATCCAGGTTCTTTTTACGCATTTTTACATTTCCTTTTTATGGTCATTTGAAATGTGAATAACGTAGTTTTGAGAATGGAAGACACTTCTAATATAAAAATGTGAAATCGTTACGCGGCAACTTTGCATCTTACCCCTTGTTGCACAAGTATTGCGAATTAGAGAAGTAAGATTACTGAGCTTTCTTCTTCTGAAGACATTTTCTTCTGCATACGTCCTTTATTGCTGCTGCTTATGTTGTAGCATTTTCTGGTTGAGCTCTAGTAATTTCTTCATGTCTCCATTGTGAACTTTGTACCCTTGCTTAATCTTAGAGATTCAGTGTCATGGATTAATTTTTTGTTCAGATAATTTGTTCTTGAAGTAAGGAGTTCGTGATCCGAAATTCCTCTGTTGACGGGTTGCAATTCTGTGTTCTAAAAGAAATGTACTTCCAATAGGAAAACTATTCATATCATGGGAAAATGTTTTTTTTTATATACGTTTCTGAAACATAAATTTTACTCGTATTCTTATCTCACCGCAGTGTGACTTTATTTTTTAGATCCGTTTGTGACACAGTACACTTTAAATGATTCATTACCTTCCAAAACTCTTTATACTGATTTTTCCATTTCCTGGCTGCGCTGACTAATATGATAGATTGCTGACGAGAGTTACCGACGTCAATAAAAGATTGATTTCAAGAACATTTGTAACGTTGACGAGCTGAGTCTTTGTTATCGCTCCTAATAAATCAATGACATTCAAAGTTCAGATGCGGATAGCATAAAGAAGTAAAACAGAGGGTTGTGTCGTAGTCACTGTTTTAAGGGGGGATGCTGCTACTAATAAAAATGCATTGCAGCCGGGAAGTTTAATAAATATCAATGTGTCTTAAGCTGATATTACAATGGTACATAGGCAAAAATCCTGGATGACGGGTTAATTTTTCTGTAAATGCTTGGTTGTAGTTAAGGAAATAACACGATATTTAATCTACTTAAACTGTTGTAGAAGAAAGTGGACTACCAAAGGTCAGAAAAAATTTAATCAACATTTGCAATTCTACTTTTTTAAGCTCACAGCCTTTCGTGCTCAAAATATATTTTTTCTTTCTTTGTTTATACATTTCCGTATCATTATATGAACAAAAAGAAAGGAAATATTAAGAAAGGAGCATTTCTTCTTCAAAATGTAATTAAAATCCCATTTTTCTATCTGAAATTTGTATCATTAACAACGCCTTTAATATCCTTTTAAATTGTATGATATTTAATGGGAAGAAGGTGAGGTTAGGTTATATGGATACGACAAAGTCGCTCCTTAGAGGAGAGATGCCTTCGTGGAGGATTTTAATGGGGAGGAAGAGATTTGATATTAACTACTGATATATCCTGTAGAACTTCTTTTCTTTTTGGGGGGGGGCGAGAGGAAGACTGTAAAGCAATGTGTTCGAAACAGGCAACATGTTTGATGGTCAGAAACACGGAATATCTAATTTCAGTGTAAATGCAGAATACAACAACATAAGAAGATAGGAATGAGAATTCTAAGGACTTTTTATTTTGCTTGTTAATATTTGCATGAATATCATAGCTTGGTAAAAGGCTTCTTTTAAAAAATAATATGTGATTGTTACCAAGATTTTATGGATGGCTACTTTTCATTTGTTATGTTCTTACTGCAACCGCGTTCTTCGAAATTTAAATTACTCGCATAATTTTTCTATTAATTAGTAAATAAAAGGGGGGAAATAAGGGAAGAAATATAGTAATAGCAAAGGAGTTCGTAAGAAATAATCTAAGAAAAGAATAAGTCTTTGGGCCATTATTTAAATTTGAAGAGATGTAAATGGATGCAATTACATGGAAATGCCACTTCTTTCAGTTCCAAGTGTTGCTTGCAAAGCCAAGAAATAAGTCTTAATTTGTTTCTTCCTTAGATGACTGTACGTGCATGTCTATGTCCTATATTGCATTGTTTGGAAAAGGATGCTTAGCTTATTTAGAACATGAACTTACATTTGGCTAGCAAATGTATTAAAACTCTTATTCCGTATGTCTTTCTGGTATAATAGCCAGTACCCATAGCTAATTTTATTCCCTTTTCGATTCTGGACTATAGCAAATTATTTTTGTGCTAACCAATCGTCTTCTCTCCATAGTTTTTTTTTTTTTATAAAGGGAGGGGGGGTTGTAGACGGTTTCACGCACTTCGAATTTTGAGTAACGTTATTTGACAATGCACGTTTAATAGGCCTCGAGATAGTGATTACAGGTTTGCAATAATGGCAATAAAAAGAAGGTGTTTTCCCTCTTTCTTTTCATTTCCTGCCACATTTTCCTGGTTTGCCTCTATTATCTTTTCGCTCGGACACCCACGCGGAGATTTTAATTACTTTGGCTTTCCGCCAGAACTCTTCCTTTTGCACGTCAGAGTAATTGTTACGCCCGGTCTCTGCGTAATAACAACACCGTAATAATTGCATTAATAAACTTAGCAGACTGATTTCGTTATTTAAATGTCGGCCCTTCAGGATGAGGGTGCCTTTAGACTGCCTGATTTTACCCGTTTGCTCACTTAGCAACAGGTTTTTAATGTTATCTACTCAGTCATTCCTCACTCCACGACAAGCGGTTGCAGTTACGATGCTTCTTACGAGTGATAGATTTACTTCTTTTTTATTTGTATTTGTCTTTTTAAATAGAACGAATATTATTTTCGGATGTAGCTAGTTTCGGTTGTGACTATCCTCGTTATCGCTTATGGTCAATAATCGAATGCAAAAAAAAGCTGTTAAAAATTTAGAAAGATGAATTCGATGAGAGGTGCACGAAGTTCCGCTGTCTTCTGAGCATTACGTAATCGTTCAGCATCCATGCGAAATTTCTGACATTTAGCTGGGAAAACTGGTAAGTTTTTCAGTGTGTTGTATCAATATCCCATGCGTTTGATTATACAGTCAACTTATCGTCAACTGGGTCTAAATTTTTTTTATTACTAAACGGTGAAAAATTCCTGTCACAAACCGTTGAAAGTAAAATAAAATTATCATTAGGTTATTTTGAAGCACGAGATGTGAGAAATAAGCAATGCCCTCGCCGGGACTCAAACCACGGACCTCTCGAATACGCGTCGAGTGTGCTGACCACTACACCACGAAGGCATGCTAAGAAGGCGGGAGAAATACTTTATATGCATTATTCGAGTATTCTTTAATAATAATTTAATAATATTATTAAAGAATATTATAATAATATAATAGATAATTGTAATAGATAATAATATTTTCTATATAATAGATAATAATATAATATTTGTAATTTAGATTCTTCATTTCTAATGTTGTTTATTCTTCCATAATATATCCCCCCTTTTTGCTTTTTGTCCCTTCTGAATTCTAATTTTATTTATTGGTGAAAATGAACTTATTCTCTACATTAAGCTATAAATATAAATTTTCTGTAAAACTGCAAGTAAAATGTTTATAGCTGTTTTCTGTGAATTACATAGGTTATTCTCCACCCCCCCCCGTGATTTTTGAGTTAATCGGGAACTTTGTACCCGGCATTATTACGGTTAATCGGTTATTGGTTGTAGATTCATTTAAATTATTTTTAAGATTGCGAAAAAGCTCTTTACTTGGCTTTTAAATTTTAAATACATGTTTTCATCATATGGGAAGAAACTTCAGGTTTAACACAGCTGACTGGTCAGGTTTCAACTTTATCACTGAACTTTATTTATATTTTCCACTTTTACGTAATTGAAGTATCACTGTTATCCTTCATATATAAAGTAAATGTTACTATAATTTCGGTATTGTTGGTACAACGAGTCTATAACACACTAAGCGTTTTTACTCGTACGTGCCGGAGGCCACTGGTAATGTTAACAATAAAGCACGAGGATGCGCCGACCGTAGGCGTGGAGTGGAAAGCTGAACTCTGAGCGAGTGTAGATATTCAGAGAGTGAATCTTAAAAACAGGGTCCTAAAATAAAGGAAGCAAAGTCCGGTTTTTACAGATAAAAAATAAATAAAGTGAGAATCCGGAAAATAGTCAAGTGTAAATACGAGGACGACTAGCATTTGGCATTATAATGCATCATTCTTAGTCTGTTGACAATGCAGTCTATTGCAGGATCATGCTTTGCAATTGCAGCGATTTCAGGATAGAGGGAGGTGGGCATATTATCACAGAATAGTGAAACCCCATTAAAATATAATCACCAGTATTTGGTACATTGATGTCCTGGTGGATAACAGAATTTCCAATAAACCAAAGAGCCTTCACCATAGTGCCTAGTATTTTATTCTATGTGTTACTATAATAGTACTCGTAAGCGACCGCAAAAAGGGTTGTAAGTGGTTTAAATTAAGAAGCAATGATGTTAACAAGTACTGACTTGTTTGCAGAACGGGTTACATATAAGTTCTAGTTTCGAAAGTTAAGATACCTGTTCAGTAACTGCAGAGATAAAAATGCTCATGTGTATTCGTGTCGTGAAATGTGTTATTAGCTAATATTTCCATTAGAAAATATATGTGTGTGTAACATATTATATGGCAAATATCGATTTCAGCTGCATATTTCTTGGCTAGAAAGTATAGGGAATAGTACAATTTTAACGGGAGTTTGTCTACTGCTCTAATTTGCCGCGTTCTTTCACAAATGTATCGCTTTTATGTTAACTAAAAACATGGTAAATTAATACTTTTCTATTTATCTTATCAAAAGCCTCGTAAATTAAAGGAAAAGACTTGCGTTCAAACGACCCAGTCCTCTTAGATTACTGGTGAAAAAAGACTCTGATGATGGAAAATCTATAAATGCTAAAATGTGTTAAGTTTCGAATGAGTATTTTCATTCTGTTTCACCACAATTAAAAATATGACAGGAAGTATTACGGAAAAGTTAATCATCACTCTTAAAATATATAGACACACATATATTTTATATATGATTTACAGTAATTTTTGAAGTGGTGATATTTAGTTATAAAAGCAAATAAAATTATTTCTGATATGGAACTTTAATTTTAAAACACTCGGAAATAGTGAAGTGTTTGTCTTGCGGCTTATAATAGCTATACAAAAATGGAAAAGGACTTCCCTGATTAAATTTTCTATTTATTTTAGTTTTAAAGTAGGTGATTTGCGTGAAGAGTGTTAAAAAAATTAAAACTGTTTTAAGTGTGAAATAACCTATTTTAAAAAAGAAATTTATCTTTGAACTGTATACACACAATGAAGGATATAGTTTTTATTTAAAAATTAGAAGAAAGTGTGTAATTATTGTTTTTTGAAATACGCAGAGCCTGTTAATTTGACATTTCTTTTGAGTTTTGTCTGCTTTTAAAATTCGAAATTGTTATTGAAATTTGTGAAAAAGGGTTAAGAAATGTATTATCTCCTTAGACTTTTGTTAAAACGTTTATCATATTCTCACATAACTTCATACAGCATTAAATCTACCTTACTTTCATATTCACCCACTTCAGTTTTAGATTAGATAAAACGGTAAAGCGGATATAATCTGTCTCTCCTTGCTTTAGATAAGAACTGAATTAGACTTCGTTGCAACGTTTTTACTGTTTAAATAGAACTATCATCTTTTCAGCATGTAACGGTCTGTATATAATTATTTTTAATACATGAACAAAACTCAAAATGAAGTTTTTTTTTATTTAGTAATATCTTTGAAAAAGTACATCTTGATTTTTTTACGGGACGGAACTATTATATGATCAGCAATAGGCTTCTGAGAATTGTTTTGAAAAGTTTTGTGTTATCAGTAAAGCGACCATATTTAAAACATTTGAAGCATTTTAAAGCTATATGGGATTTGTTGTTTATTACTGGAATCATAAATTTAACTTTTTGCGAAATATTTTGGGAATTTTCTTGTAGCATTTTATTATAATTATGACATGGCTGAAGAAAAAAAGTATTAAATAAATTTCTTTAATATTTGTAGTCATTCAGATTGTATTTGAAGCAGCAAGTTGGAGCCTTTTAAGAATTTGAGAAGCGCAAAATGTCTGTGCGTATTTTGTCTTTATATTACTTTTTTTTTTAATTTGATAGTCCGGTCCATAACTCATTTAGATTAATGAAACTGTTATTTGTTTAAACTTTGTATTTATTTTCCATTCAAATTATTAATCCTTGAATGGAGAATAATTTAACTGATTTTTTTAAGGATTTAAAATGTGTAGTTTTCGAATTATAGGCCATTTTTGGCACTAGCCATGAAAAGTAAAGTAATTTGTTTTTGTGACAAAGCATTGTTTTACGATTTCTTTTAATTTCCCTCCTTTCCCCGAGGGGAGGCCAAAGATTGTTAACTTTCCTCAGTGTAAGAATTAGAATTAGAATTTTCATAGAAATTTAATGATTGTTTATTTGATTAAGACCCAGCATGCGAAAACTCTTTTTCATAAAGATATAACTTTCAATAATATTATATATAATGAAAGTTTTTTTCATAATGCCGGTGATTTAGTTGTTACAATTAATAAAAGAGTCACTCGGTAAAAATGTGTTATAAATTTAATTAAAGGATGCATAAACTGCAGCAACAGCTGGTTTCATGATATTCCTGTGAAAGTTAACAAAGAACGACTCTAATGGAATGGAACTTTTCATAAATATAGAAAATAACTTGAGTAATATTACATACATAAAGATGGACTGAAAAAGCACTTTCTTTTTCTTTCGCGATACTCCGGAAAAAATGCCTATCGCCTAGATGAGCAAAAGGAAAATAATAATAATTTTCAAATGAAACTATATCTTCCGTTCGTGCATCGCACTGAAAGTTGTGAAATTTTGATGTTTTCCGCCAAATTCTTATGTACCAAACTCGCTATTATCGAAACGCTGTAGTCCTAATGTGAATTTTGGGACACAAGGACCACGAAAAATTCAAAACCTGTAATTTCAAATTGCGTATTATTTGTGCGAATAACTCAAACGGCACGAGTTTTTGTTAAAATAACAACATTTCGCAAATTTTGCTACACACCATTTTCAGTGGTGACTATAATTAACTGTTATGTAACTATAATTATGTAATTGTAAATATTGTGTATTTTGTCAATATTATGTAACTCTGTATGTGATACGCCACCGGCTAAAGTCGCTGAACACTGATAGTACGGTCTAGAGTTCGAATTCCGGTGAACGGGCTTCTTCGTGGGTTTCTGTACGCGTAGCGTGTATACGAGCCAGTTCCTCTTCCACGAAGGCATCCCTCCCGTTAGGCAAATAGCCCTGGAAAGCTTTGTCGTAAATGTGATAATTGATTCATACAATTCTCATATCACTGACAAAAACAAAATGAAAAGAGGAAAAACTCGTGATAACACTAACAGTTGGCAGAATCAATTTATTAGGGAAATACTACGTGGTTTGATTGAAGATAAGACGACGCAATGGTAATTAAAAAAAATTAATTCAAAGCGTTTTCGAAGAACTAAAAAATGAAGACCGTTTATTTCCTCATAAAAAAACCAGGATCAGAAGATACCAGCCATGCTTCTCCCTCTCCTGGACTTGATAAATGTAAAGCTTTTACCACATTTTCTCTTTTGACTATTGACATATATATGAGATTTCCTTTAAAGAACTTGATTTGATAGGGAGCGATGAAACTGTAATTAACACTGGTTGGAAAAATGGTGTTATCCACCCGATCGAATTACGTGTTGAGAGATTACTGCAGGGGGCTATATGTCTCTTACACTTCAGTGAACTGTAGTTCAGTTCCCTGTTTCATCACTTGGATGGTGTTACCACAGGGCCCAAATCCTTCATTGATGCGATCGGGAAAAAACTCTTTGGCTGTGAAAAACTACCACTGATTCTCTTTGTAATTTGTTGAATTTTCCATTCAAGTTGACTGAAAA